TATATATATATATATATATATATAGGTATATAAATTATATAATTATAGTTGCCACAAATGATCCAATCGTGTATGTTAAGGTTTAATTTTAATCTCGGTTTATATATATAATTTTTACATCTTTTTCTAATTTTAATCTAAATTCTAAGAATTAAAAAAAGAATAAATTAAAATTGAGATTAAAATTAATTTACATTAATAGAAATGGCATTAGTTTTCTACATGATTATTCCGCAGATATATTGTCGAATTATCATAACGTTTATTTAAATATTGTTAAATATTAAATATTAAATTGCAGATCATGTCTGCGATTAATATCGTCTTATGTAACGTGAAATTTCTCCGCGAGAAAGTAAAAAAAAAGTACGACGAGGATGGGATTCGAACCCACGCGTGCAGAGCACATTGGATTAGCAGTCCAACGCCTTAACCACTCGGCCACCTCGTCACGCACATGGAGGAGTTCGAAATGTTCGTAGTAAGCTGTGGCCTCTCGATTCGTTACAACGCCATTACTTTGCAACTTTCATGAATTACACAAGAGCTGAGCAATAAAAAAAAATGTACTATCCGATGTAAAACATATATCAGCATTAGTCTGCAAGTGTATGCCGTGGTGTGTGCATTTCAAAAGGCGGTTCCGAACAAACGGCAGTTATAACGCGATTGATATATGTGCGCCGTATGAAAAAAAAAAATTAATCGAAAAGGTCATTTCGATTTTTGTCGAGTTAAAATAACTCGGCGCGATTTCGCGACGCAATCTCATTGAAATCTGCACATATCGAGTAACACCGACGAATCTTTTCCAATTTGTTTGATCAAAAACGCGAAATCGAGAGATTAAAATATTTTTATTTATTAATATATAAACTTGAAGTATAAGTATAATTAGCTTATAAAATATGTTATAAAGTACGATACCTTGTTTATTTAAACTTAAATTTAATTCACTTAAATTTATAAAATACGATACGTGTATAAGTATACTAAATATTGTATCAATTGCTGAGCGATCAGCTAAGTACTTTCATCAGCTCGACTTTTCATCATGCGACACCGATCATTGTGCATGTATCAGCGTCTAAACATGACACATATCGATAAGCCTCGCAGTGCAGTTGGGCACCCGTACGTAACATGTACTTAGGTGTATATTTATAAGTAAACAATTTCACAACGACACGCATCGACGTGTATAGCAAAATGCGGTAACGTCAGTTCTCGTGTTGCAATCCCACACACGATAAATCTCTATCGTTTATTTACCATTGAATTTGTACATCTTCCGTGCGGCGATAGAGATATACAAAAAAAAATTTCAAATTCTTTTATGCGCCGTATATCTACGACACAGATATCGCGTTGGAGAGGGCCGAGCCGACTAATTCCTGCTCCGCTAGTCCGCTCGACAATGACATTCGTCTTATATGCCCCGCGGGCATCCTTATAATCCGCGTTAATTTATACTTGTTATACGAGATAAATGCATAAACGCGATAATCGCGCGGACGACTGTGTGTCCGCGGTGCCTTCCGTTCAATTTCTTTCGTATCGTGTTCCACCTTAAACGCAACGGTTTAACGACGGTGTACAGTAGTTGAAACTCGGTTGAGCAATCGCTCGCGTATCTTCGATCTTTGCCGTGTTGATAGTGGAGTTCTGGGACTCTCGTTGTCAGTGTGCCACCACGGAGTTCTAACATCTGACACGGGAACCGATCGACATGGAGACCATGATGGAACCATTTACGCCGATTTACGACGATGCCACTGTGCGATCGCTCGCCAGCGAATTCGCCAGACTTGAAGGTAGGTGCTGGAAAGAGAAGAGGAAAGAGAGGAAGGGAATATGCCGTGTGAATATATGAGGCCTATTAATTGCTCTTGCCTCTGCTCTGCACTATTTCCCTTTCGTTAAGCTTCAAATATATATGTTACCGTCAAAACCCATAATCTGTTAAAACCCGAATTTATTAGTTAAAACTAGAATGGTTGATTAGAAAGTAAAATTTAGTAAAATCAAAAACCTGTGTGGACAGTACAATATTATAGACCTCGTAAACAGGGAGGGGGGATTGGACTTCGTTTCGCTTGGAAAGTCGAAAACACATGTGAAACAGTACAATTATAGACCTCGTTTCAACTATTAAAAACTAGTTTTAATTAGTGAAATCGGGTTTTAACGATCATGAGTTTCGTTAAAACCCGATTATAACGAACGTATACTAGTTACAAAGACTTGAGCTTTGATTTATCGCTTTGCTAGCTCATAAAACCTGGTTTGATAGTTTATTTTAGATATCGATGCATTTCCATTACGGCTTCTTGAAACCTTTGCGTTTACAATATAGAAGTTATATTTACGTAATACGCAACGTGTTCAACTTCGCGACGGTGACGTGACAAGGACGCGTGATGATATCGTTATAACTAGTTATTTACGTAATAGAGCTCTATTATCTTATATGACGTTTTAAAGCAGTCGGACGTTCTTTCAGTTTCTGTTTTAGCGAGAACATCGAGGAAAATAATTGTTTATCTTGTTCTTCTAATTTTTAAATATTTTTGTTCAAGCTAAAATGATATTAAAGTACAATTTATTTGAAATTAAGTAAAGGATGTGATTTTAACATTTGTTTTCTTGTAGAGACTGTAGTTTTATTATTTATTGCAGCCGAAACGTTCGACGTTTGTAATGTTTAATTTTAGAATATGTTATATTTATATATGAATTTTATGCGCACGAAATTTTATCGCGCCATTCTCATTTATCTAATTTATTTGTGTTTTATTTCATTTGTTTTCTTTCTAATCTCTTATTTTCGCGATCATTAATTAATACAAATATTATAGGCACTTTGACATTTCTCTTAGAAAGATCGACTTTTAAGATTTTTTATTAGATTTTTATAAGATCAATTTCAAAATGAATATTAATGAAAAGAATATTCGACGACTTTTGAACATTCTGCATAAATATTTAAAAATGTAATATAAACTTGGCTAATATTTTGCAATCTTTTTATTATTAAGTTTGAAGGAAAGTGTTTCAACTCGTATCGTATTTTCAACTCAAAATTGGAGCAATTTTATTTATATTTAAAAACAACTTTAATCAGTAATGTAACGGCCGTTACTGATTAAAATTGTTTTCTATAACCTTTTGCTATTTTTCAGGCAGCTGTAATTCGTTGCGTGTATCATAGAAGTCAAACATTTTCTCAGTGATGATCTGACCTGAGTAAAGTTAGTCCCCCATGTTAAAAAATTTAAAATTTTCTTTTTACAAACGTTTGTCCATCGTTTGCTCACAAATTGGAATTTTTATTTGCTCCCTTTCTAGTTCAAAATCTTCTATATTTGCAAATCAATTTTGCAAATTGTAATTCCTACGCTATTCTACACCAAGGGACTAGAACATCATGTCAAACATTTTCTCAGTGATGATCTGACCTGAGTAAAGTTAGTCCCCCATGTTAAAAAATTTAAAATTTTCTTTTTACAAACGTTTGTCCATCGTTTGCTCACAAATTGGAATTTTTATTTGCTCCCTTTCTAGTTCAAAATCTTCTATATTTGCAAATCAATTTTGCAAATTGTAATTCCTACGCTATTCTACACCAAGGGACTAGAACATCATGTATAATCTTTGCTTCTTTTCTCCCAGAATATGATATAAATTAACAATTTAACAGTTACATATAAATAAACTATATACACATACACACTTATACATATACGCATATACAAAAAAGATATAAATCTGACCGCGCAACATCCACGTTATACACTTTGAGTTAGCTAACGTCGGCATTATTATAAATTTTGACGACTCATGACTCAGGAAATTTTTTGTAAATAAGCAAACAATTATTATAGATAAATTAAGATTAAGTATTAAAGATAAGTAAAGATAAGTATAGATCCAAGTAATGATAATTTTTCTCTCAAATTCAATTATGTATGTATATTAACTTTTAAACTAAAGAGAGGCAAACAAAAATTTGTTTTTTAACATTGGGAGCCAGTGTGAAGTTGGCTTTTTCCCCCTAAAATTAATTTGAGTATAACTTTTGAACTAGAGTGGGGCAAACAAAAATTCTAACGCAGCATTTGTGGGCAAACATTTGCAGAAAGAAAATTTAGATTTTTTACATTGGGAAGCCAGTATGAAGTTAGTTCCTCAAAATTGATTTACGTATAACTTTTGAACTGAGGGGGGGGGGGGTAAATAAAAATTTCAATGGAGCATTCGTGAGCAAACAATGGGCAAATGTTTGAAAAAAGAAAATTTTGAATTTTTCAACATTGGGGGGCTAATTTTACACAGATGAAGAATTGTTGAAAAAATAGTATATGCATTCGATTATGGCCTTTTCATACATAACATATATTTTTTTCGTTTGTCGTATTTTTTTTTGGAAATAAAATAGCAAAAATACAACTTTGTTTTTCTCTCAATTTTAAATGAACACAAATGTTTCTACGTACAATTTTCACACTAAATGACGCTGAGGTTTCAGCTCTGTCACAATAGCACAGATTTATGACATTTAGATTAAAGTTTCTTTCTAATAAAACATCAATCATCTATTTATATCTAACAAGAAAACGACATTACTTTCCTTCCAATCCAATATATTAAATATATTTATCGTAATTAAAAAATCGATACTAAATTATTGACTTATCATTGTAGGATCAATAATAAAATTTATTTGATAACAAAAAGATCTTTAATACTTTTTTCATATTTTAAATTTAATTTAATGCAAGAAAAACGAAACATACTAAAATGAATGACGTGCGTTACATAAAAAATGTTGCTCCTTCCTCAGGCGAGTGTTACGTGGATCACGCGGGCGCAACCCTGTATTCGGACACGCAGATCAGGAACGTCAGCGCCGATCTGCACAGCTCTCTTTACGCAAATCCGCACTCCCTCGGTATCGGGAGTTCATCGACACAGGACATTATCGAGCGTACGAGATACCGGTGAGAGATCACACACAGCCATATATGCAGATAAATGGGCGCGTGCAGCCCGATAACGAATTTACAGCTGATTTGAATCATCGTTCTCAGAATTCTGAGCCACTTCAACACAAATCCCGACGAGTACAGCGTCATCTTCACCTCGGGCGCCACGGCAAGTCTAAAGATAGTCGCGGAAAGCTTCCGCTTTAGAACGAGTGAAAACAACGGAACAGCGAAAATGTCCCCGCATTCGGGCAGTTTCGTTTACATGCAGGACAATCACACGTCGGTCCTCGGGATGCGAGATGTGGTCGCTGCCAGAGGCGCCGACGTCGTTTGCCTGGGCCACGATCAGGCGTTCCAGGTGCTTAGCCAGCCTTCACCGCCTCGCGATCCCGACGAGAAACGGTGCGGCAATTCCCTCTTCGTATATTCCGCGCAGTGCAATTTTTCGGGACTGAAGTATCCCCTTGGATGGATCGGCGACGCGCAGGCCGGGGCGCTTTCCGCTTTCGCCAATGAACCCTCGACCAGGTGGTACGTCCTGCTCGATGCGGCCGGCTTCGTGTCAACGAACAATTTAGATTTATCCGTTTTCAAACCGGACTTCGTGTGCCTGTCTTTCTACAAAATGTTCGGCTATCCCACTGGTATCGGCGCCCTGCTAGTTAGAAACGCGAGCGCGGACGTTCTAGAGAAAATTTATTACGGCGGCGGTACCGTGGACGTCGCTCTAAGTTCTGAAAGATTTCACAGAAAACGTCAAGTGTTGTGTCAAAAGTAAGTATAAAAGTGTACCTTTTCATACTGACGCTCGACGCTCATTTTTAGCGATCAAAACAGATCACATGATCAAAATTGATGCTTGGTATTCGTCATTTTGACCATGTCAGAGTTGCCACAAAAAATGAATTTTGCTGACTTTTCCACGATTTTCAGACAACAGTGGAAAATTTTCCATGTCAGTATCAGATATATAATTCTAAATTTTAATGTTTAAAAGATACGTATTACAAAAAAAGATAACTTATATTATTAGAAACAATATAAATTTAGAAGTTTAATAACATAATATAATCCCAAATGTAAATTCAGGCCAACAAATTATTAACATCGCTTTGACATTGGTGCTATGCATTAAACTACAGAAAAAAATTCCTTTGGTACAACTGAATTTTTCGTTGCTTTGGGACCAGACAAAAACTCAGTGGTAAAAGCAAAAAAAGATTCCTATATACATTTCTTTAATATCGCTACATATTCAGAATATTTTCGATTGCGATAACAGAGAGAAGTCTCGAACAAAATCGTAATTTTCGAAAATTTTTTCGATTTTCATACAAAATCATTTAATTCTGTTATTGTCTATTGTTTAATTCGGAAAAAGGATTTTCAAATAAAAAAAGCAATACATACAAAAACACTACAAAAATTATTGAGTTTCGTCGATAAAACAAATGATCCCTTTAAGGAAATTGTGAGCAAAGTTCAAAATTCCAGGTTCTTTTATATCTTTCTCTGACTTTTCCAGGATTTCCCTGGCCAGTTTAAATTTCCTTGACTTTTTCAGGTTTTCCAGGTTTGTGGCAATCCTGCATGTGATCTCTGTTTTGAAATTAAAAATGAGCATCGAGCGTCAGCATAAAATCGTACCTTAAGAGTCGTTTGGCTTCGAGATGAATGAATTGTCTGAAACACATCTTGATTCGCAGATTCGAAGATGGAACCGTGCCGTTTCTGTCTATTGCATCGCTACAATACGGTTTCGAAATTCTTACGAAGCTGACAATGGATCAAATATCGAAACACGTTTTGTCTCTCGCCAAGACGCTGCACCACTGCCTGCTGACGCTACATCATTGTAATGGTAAACCAGCTGTAAAACTCTATTCTGATTCCGATTACGAGGATCGCAGTTCGCAAGGGGGCATCGTTACGTTCAATCTCATCCGGTCGAACGGTGAATACGTGGGATACATGGAAGTCGTAAATATGGCGGCATTATTTAAGATACACCTTAGGACCGGCTGCTTTTGTAATCCCGGCGCGTGCCAGAGACATTTGTCTCTCTCGCCCAGGGAGATTCTTCAGAACTACGAAGCGGGATACACGTGCGGCGGTGCCGCAGATTTAATGAACGGGAAACCGACCGGGGCAGTGAGAATCTCCTTCGGATACATGTCCACGATTAAAGACGTTCAGACAGTCCTACTTATGATCACCAAGTGTTTCATCGACGAGCCGTGCATCAGAAAAGTTCCGCAATGGTGGGAAGACCGCAAGATGAAGGGAATTCATAAAAACCACAGACATTTTTACAATTCCAATATCTTAGATTATTCCATTCCGTGTATTACAAATAGCGAAAAAAATATTGTGAATAACAATTTGCGAAATAATTTCCATAACAAAAGTGAGAGCCTCGATCGTATTATGAATTCTATAAACTCTAGCAAAATAAGTACGCAAATAAGCAAATGTACGTTGCAACGGTTATTTATATATCCTATCAAATCGTGCGGAGCATATGAAATTGCAGATTCGTGGAATTTGAATTCAAAGGGTCTGGAATATGACAGGGAATGGATGATAATGACATCCTCCGGAACTTGCTTGACGCAGAAGCATCATACGAATCTATGTTTGCTTAATCCTGTTATTCTGAGAAAGCAAAAGATTATGAAACTAACGTATCCAGGTAATTAAAAAAAAAAGTTAATTTCATGAATTCAGTATTTTGCAATACAGCTTAATATAGCGTTATTTCAGCATAAATGATAATAAATCTCGTTTTAGGAATGCCAACGATTGAAATACCTTTAGAGAATGCCTATGAGAAATCAACGGAACATCCTGTATGTCAAAGCAGAGTATGCGAAAGTAGAGTGCAAGGTATTGATTGCGGATCGGAGGTTTCTGAGTGGCTGAGTTTGGCATTGGGCAAACCGAATCTTAAATTAATTCGACAAAGTCATGCGAGACAAAAGAAAGGTACCGAAGGAATATTAAAGTGTTATGTTAAGCCTTGAAGTTACAATTACTTATATTAGTGGAAAACTTATTGCTTTTCTCTTACAGGATTGGACCAGGCAGAGTTATCGTTTTCTAGTCAGGCACAGTATTTAGCAGTAAATGGAGCAAGTGTTTCATGGCTCATCGACAAGGTATCTGACGACGTGGATTTCCGAAAAGACACTGCTGTTCACCGATTCAGAGGAAACATTATTGTGGAAGGCTGCGAAGCCTTTGACGAAATGCAATGGGAAAATGTTCGCATTGGAAATAACAATTTTAAAGTATGAATTTTTTTTTTCATATTGACCAAGCTACTTTTTTGCTATTCAAAATTGCTACAATTGCATTTAACGGCAGGTAAACGGTCCTTGCACAAGGTGTCAAATGATATGCATTGATCAAACGACCGGCAAGAAGACTATCGAGCCATTGAGAACGTTAGCAGAGGAGTTCCATGGAAAGCTGAGATTTGGAATCTATTTAACTAGATTGGAAAATACGCCAGGTACACTTAAGATCGGCGATCATATTTACTACTCTTAAAGAACTTATTTTTTTAACTTCACGTTATTGTCCAAACTTTGCACATAAAATTTGTCATGAGCAAACTACAGAAGAATCTCATATGCTCTTTTAAGTACTTAGGACTACATATTATAATTAAGTATATAAATATTATATATATATATTTATAACAAATTTTTATTTCTGTAACAAATATCAATAAAAATTGAGTTTTTTAATCTATACCTGATTTATGAAAACGTTTATAATATCACACAGTCCGCCGCCTGTTGCTGGTCAATTTTTTTCACTGGTTTACCCGTAGACACATCTTTGATCATATCCGCGATTGCAATAAAATCAGGAAACGCGAGCGTCTGGAGCTTAGAGTATACCAATTCATCATTGACTTGCACTTCGAAAGAGGCTAAAAAGTAACAGGCATAAAACTTCCACTTGTACATCCATATTCATGTGTATTGTATTCGCAACTTGCCTTGCCTTCCTGCTGTGCCAGCGACCGTAGCGTTGGGGACATTCTTTTTTATTTCCTCTGCCAACTGAAGAAATTGTTTCTTGTGTCCACACGAGCCACTGCAAAATTATAGTAATTATAAATTATAATAGATCATTTAGCCGCAAGATATTCGCAAACAAGTTGCCTTTTGAAAAATACACATTTTAAGTGTGCCATATAATTTTAATATTCTATTTATTTATATTGTCTATAGAAATCACAAAGAAACAATTTCATTACGAAGCAGTACATGTTCTTGTGTTAAACAGATATAAATTTGAAAATCATACAAAACAATTTAAATCCTGCTGATTATAAAGATAAATAGCTTGAATTACTAAAAATATACACATAATAATGATCGTATCGTTTGTGTCTGGATTAATTCTAAATTATAATAATTTATTTAGTCGCAAAATTAGTTCGCAAACAAGTTGCCTTTCAAAAAATACACACTTTAAGTATGCCATATAATTTTAATATTCTATTTATTTATATTGTCTACAGAAATCGCAAAGAAACAATTTCATTATGAAGCAGTACATGTTCTTGTATTAAATAGATAATTTGAAAATCATATATCCAAAAACAATTAAAATCCTGATTATAACGATAAATAGCTTGAATTACCAAAAATATACACATGATGATGATCGTGTCGTTTGTGTCTGAATTAATTTTCATTTTTACAAGTATACAAAAATTATTATATTAAATAATTCTTATATATATTTCAACATCTTTAGAAAGTGTTTGTAAGGTTGTGCATTAAAAAAAATTGTATGTAAATGTTATATAACAGTCGACACGATCAACGACCCTATCGTGTGTTCTAAAGGTTAAGAGTTCTGCTGGATGATCGTAGATCTATATACTCACCAATATTCAACATCAATTTTCACGTCCATCTCTTCTGTCATTTTACCATATTTTAAAGCACGAATCGTTGTAGCGTATCAACGTACTTGTGTCCTCCGATTATTGATCATCCAGCCGCTGAAAGCAGCGGTCAATTAGAGCGTAGCCTAACCTAACACATGTTTACGAACAATAGTCGGTAACAAAAATAATACCGTTTGCACTTTACACGCGCCGTTCGTTTTGCTTTTACATTATGTTGACACACGTAACGTATGTACGTACGCTCGTGGCAGCTTCGGAAATAGAATCCGTCATCCGATTGACTCCGATACAGCGACTACGTACAGTAAACAATCGTTTTTCGGTTTTTCATTACAACTCACGTGGTCACGTTACGTGATAAACAAAAAAAAAAACAAAAACAAAAATCGGAGCGCGCACAGTAGATTCGAGAATTTCATTCGACAATTACCTCATTCGTTATCGAACGTCGTTGCTCTCGTGACACTCCATCCGCGTTCACCCCGTTCGCTGCGCGATCTCGAGCTTTCGGGGCAGCTGCTGCGGAGTGTGGCTGGTGGCAGCCCTGCGACCGCCGTCGGCGGCGGCACGTCGACGCCATTTCTTTCCGCGCGGCGCCGCGGACCCATCTGTCGTCTGCCGTCACGACTCGTCCCAAGGGGGTGGTGCGACTTGACACGCGTCAGATTCGCGTCGCCGCACCGCGTGGAGTGGTGAGCGTGGAGAGACGCGAGAGCGCGAGCACCACGCGAGTGGTGATCGATCCTCTCGGACGTGCTCGGACGACGATCGGCTGGTCCGCGGCGCAGTTCGGCGGCGTGCCGCGTCAACGGGGGGGGGGGCGCGGACCTTTCGAAAGTGGCACACACACAGTGTGTATGTGTGTATGTGACACACACGTAGGCAACAGGTGTTCCACGTTGATCGCCGCGCGCCTTTGACGGTCGGCGACGGAGAGGACACGCATTCGTTCCTCGAGAGGTGCGCCCGTCTTCCGATACTTACCTATACGAGATCCGTGGTACTTGGACCCTTCAGGGTCGGATATTCAGGGTTTGACAAGAGGACGGACGGCGACCGGATCTCGGCAGGCTCGTTTTCTGACGCGTGTCGCCTGACGATAACCAGAATGAATTACGACTACTTGGTGAAGTTCCTGGCGCTCGGGAACTCCGGCGTCGGCAAGACGAGCTTCCTCCACCAGTACACGGACGGCACCTTCAACTCCAGATTCATATCCACCGTGGGGATCGATTTCAAGGAGAAACGAGTGGTGAGAGAACGACTAGGGTAACTGTCCCTATTAGTGTGCTTTTATATTTAAATAAGTCATAAAAATAAACTGGTACAAATAAATAGACAAAGTGTGCTCTTTATTAAGTTAATACTTTAACTTAATAAAAAAAAACGCTTTGTCTATTTATTTGTACCAGTTTATTTTTATGACTTATTTAAATATAAAAGCACATTAAAACGTACAGGCACACTAATAGGGATAGTTACCCTATATGTTTACGTTTAGTCCGAATAGATAAACTGTTTACACCGTGACTGTCACTGTCGTGTTTAGGATGAATATAGAGTATATATAGGTCGCGGACTTGAACGTATAATGGTGTAAACATTGCCAATGAGTAACGCCAAATTTGGGTGGTAGCGTCAAATAACCATAACCGTTAAAACCCGATTAATTAAAATTAGCTTTAAATTTAGTTAAAACAAGGTCTTATAACTGTAACGTTTCACATGGGTTTTCCATGCATAGCGAGGTGAGCGAGGTTCAACTCCCTCCTCCCTCCCAACCTGTTTACGGGGCGAAACAAGTCTATGATTGTACTGTCCACATAGGTTTTCGATTTTACGTCTAATCAACCATTCTAGTTTTAACTAGTGAATTCAGGTTTTAAAAGCCGATCAAAGGTTTTAACGGATTATGGGTTTTGACGGCAACACAGTTGCATCGATCGTTCGAAGTCTGCGTGACTTTTGAGAGAAGCCTCTTGCATATTTCAAAGCAGGGGACTGCGACGACAGACTTTGAATAATTAATGATCCCACGCGAGCCAAGTGAAAAGTATTGCATGTGGATTAGTCGTGCTTGTGTATTGTGTACATTGGCAAGTGACAAATGACACAAGAGCTACAGTATTTCACGCACGGAGAAGTAAGGGTCATTTGTTATTGCAGATATACCAAACGGCGAATGGCAGAAGTCAACGAGTGCACTTGCAGCTTTGGGACACAGCCGGCCAGGAAAGGTAAATATATCAGAGAACTTTACGACTGCAGTTTCTCGACAGGAATGTAACATCAGTTGACATGCATTTGCTGCATATTCTTTGATAAATCGATATTGAATTTTAGCACAAGCGAAGTCAGATATACTTGCATATTTATGTTACATTATTCATGATAGAGATAAGATAAACGCGAGATTCTGTTGTTATATTCTGCATTGTGATATCTTGATTTCAACTATCTAGTTGAAAGCTTGCCAAATTGCATAATACAGAAAGAAATGTGATTCTAAGATCCGAAAGAGCCGAGACTTAAATATATACAACATGTGAGGCATAGGTGTATGCCTCTAATCAATATGTATGATGTTGCATCCTGCATGTGCAAACAGAGGCTTAAGACCTCCCAATCTAACATTCCACACGAGTAGCTTAACGTTATTAATATTCAGGTTCAGAAGTCTAACCACATCCTTTTACCGGGATTCCATGGGTTTCCTACTAATTTTTGACCTGACCAATGAATCGTCGTTTCTCGAAGTTAGAAACTGGCTGGAGCAGCTTCGGGTATTCGTCATTTATTTTAGCATTATTATATAATAAATGTTGCACGCTTGGAGAAATTCGCGCATGCGTTTTAATTGAACGATTTTTTGAGTAATTTAAATTATTCTATTTTTTTAAAATTATCATCAAAACGGCATGTATTATAATATTTGTATTAACAGCACAGTAACATTGTAACATTTGTGTCATACCGAAATGTAGTTATACTAATCTAGTAACTATTTGATGCATGAAGATAGAGCATGTAGTTAGAATGAAATATTGTGGATTGTACTGTAAAGTACAATTTATATTTAAATGAATACATTTATTGTTATGCTACTACATTAAAATACTTGGAAAGAAATTGTATTATTAATATTATTAATACTATTTAAAGAATTATAGCATAAGTCAACATAAGGTGATATAAATTTTGTATTTATTCATGTGACACATCTGTTGAAGAAGTATAGAAATATGAAAACGCAACAATATAAAATTATATAGATTTTTGCATTAATAATAATAAAAAAAATTGTTATCAGGAAGAATCAAATTATGCAATAATATATATCTAAGAACTTTTTAAGAACTTGTTACTTTTTTGCGCATAACATTTTGCATGAATATTCTTTTAATTCTTTACTTAATGTAACATTAGATAGAAATTAAAGGCACGGAAATTCTTCCGTGATGCTTTAATTAAGTATTGATCGATACTATTACTTGCTGATTATAATAGTACACGCATATATTTAGAATGTATATTTAGAATATATATTTAAAATATGTACAGTACGTATATTTTTTCTTCTACACTTTACAACTCAAGCTAACGTTTGATTTAAAAATTAAAACAAACATTTAGTAAAAGTTTTATTAGTGAATACCTACAAGAAATTTAACTCTTGAACTATAAGAAATTTATTTTTAATTTAAAGCGTATCGAAATTCTACGATTACAAAATTTAATAATAGATGTCTTGTTTTGTATAAAATTTTCTTGTTATATAATTTTATTGTTAATACAATTTTTTCGGGCAATTTTTGTGTTTATTGAATTAACGTATCGTATTTTTATGTACATATACGTTGTAGACCCACGCATATTGTGATGACCCAGACATAATTCTCTGCGGCAACAAATGCGATCTTGAGGACAAGCGCGTCATCAGCGAACATAAAGCACGGGATCTCGCTGAAAGACACGGGTAAGTCAGAAATAGTAAAACGTATGTAACGTCATTTAAAAAAGAAATATTTGTTTCGGAGTTTCTCTATCGCGTTATATTTCTTTTTTTTAGCTTGGTTTATCTGGAGACGAGTGCCGCAACCGGACAAAATGTTGAGCGCGCCGTGGAAATTTTACTGGACCGCGTAATGCGTAGAATGGAGGCTACGGTGGACAAGTCGCCGTTACCGCATCAAAAAGTTTTAAAATGCCACGAGCGCGACACTCCGCCACCCAGGAGTTCCTGCTATTGCTGACAGTGCCGGTACATGTAGTTTGTCAAACTACATTCTATATGCCGAAATCAAAGGGAAGAGAGCATATTACGAAACTGACGCCTTCAGTTTCTGAAGCAGATGTCAAATCTCGTCATAAATTCTTTCGATTAGCATGTTCGTTGCAAGATCAGAACATCGGAAGATAATTCCGTTAATTTTATGTTTGTCATCTGTCTTCATAATAGAAAGTTTGAATGAAATAAGATGTAAAGAGAGAGAGAAAAAGGTCAAGACGAGCAACAAAAATGTTAAACAATTAAATATAACATAAACTTTATTTTAAAAATTTAATGAAACAATTTCGACTCTCCGAGTTTTCTTTAGTAATAAATAAAAAAAATAAAGATTTATCATAAGAAATGACAAATCTTTTAGAATTATGTTAATAGTTAAAAAAGTTGAACAACAGCAATTTACAAAATTCATAAATATGTTTGAAAGGGAAAGAAATAATCGAAGAAAAATGATAAAGTGCTTAATTTAATTGTTTAACTGACAATAATCACACATTTCAGTATTATATACGAATCTCATTATGAGTAATATTTATAAGGAATACTTATAAAATATTCTGAATTACTTTGTCATTTACTACAGAGTGTTTACTATCTGAAAAAATTTAGAAAATTGGAATTTTTAGAGAATTTATCCTTAAAAATCGGATTTTTATGGAATTTTATTAGTACTCAGGGAAAATTTTGAAATTTTACTTTTAAATTTAAATTCTGAAAAAAATTGTTTCTTTGATCATTTAATTCTGAATGCAAAATGTCGATCGGTTAGTAAGTATGATATGCAGTTCCGCGTACATTTATGTATATTCTCATGTGACTCACAAAATTTTATTTAAAAAAATCAAGATGACAATAGAAGATAATACATAGCAGAAGAGATTATAGAGCTCGCTGATACTATACTATTGTGAGTCTTCTCCAAATAGCATATGTTGGTTTTATATACAGTTTTTAATCGATTATAAAATATTAGATACGTTTAGAAGACATAAAACGTATTTAACGTAATGTAGTATAAACTAACATGTTACTGAGTCTCTACTATCTTATAGAGTTCGCAATTCTAATTGTAGAAAAGGCTAGATATAATCTCGTGGAATTTTTATCTTCTATTAATTTACGACATATAATTTTTTACTCTAATATTTCAAAGTTGCCTTAAAAAATTTTCTAATCTTACCTGAAATTTAGAATAAAAATACTTGAAATAATTAAGCACCAAAACGGCTCAGACAATGAAAATTTAAATGAGAAGCAATAAAGGAAAATGAGAAAGCACGATATTGGTGCAAATCGCAAATATGTTACTAATAAATCCTTAGATACAATTATAATAAATTGAAAAAAATATATAAAGAAATTGGGGCTTTCAAGAATAAATCAGCAATAATGAAGTAACGCCAATGCAATTCGATGTTGGTAATAATTATTATTGTTACTATATCCAACCATATACAAATTGCGCGCTGTATTTTCGTCGGTCTTGAAACAGTCTTTACATGAAGCCAATCGCCGCCCCGTGACGTTACTTCATTTTATTGCTGATTTATAATAAATCACCTATATGTTTCGGTTTAAATTAAACCATTTTTAGTGGATTAAAACTTTTTACAAGTATAAATTATAAATTCGTGCGAATAATGAATATTTACTCATCAGGAATAAGTGGAACGTTTGCTGCTAATAACCGTCTCTGTATTTCTGCAGAATATGTATTAGTTGTCTATGAAGATTGTTAGCTTGATTCCTTATATGATTTTCTAGTGCACCAGCATTTAGTACCATAGTCTGCTTAGAATTAATCTGTAACGGACACCCTATATATGTTACATACAAGGTTGGGAAAGTTACTTTGTAAAAATAACTAGTTACAGTTACAGTTTTTGTTTCTCAAAAAGTAACTAGTTACCGTTACAAGTTACCGACTCCAAAAAGTAACATGTTACAGTTACAGTTACTCAAAAAGTAACGAATCGTTACTTTTCAGTTACTTTTAATAAAGCAACATTAGCATTATAAAAAAATAGACGTGACATTATAAAAAAGAGAGTGGTTTACATTTATATATTATATAATTTTATTTAAAAAAGAAAAGTAATGCGCGTATTTAAATATGAGCATTTAAATATTTCATATAATTACAATCAACATTACGATTAGGTGAAATGATTGAGCGAAAGAGTTGCATAATTTTGATCCATGAAAGTGACGATTTGACATATATAAAGTAACTGTAAAAGTAACTATTAAATTAGTTACTAAAAAAAGTTACTTAAAAAATCTAACTAAGTTAAGTTACAGTTACACATGGAAAGAAAGTAACGAAGTTAAATTACAGTTATTGAAAAAAAGTAACTGTAACTGTAACTTCGTTACAAGTAACGAGTTACTTCCCAACCTTGGTTACATATCACTCTTGTATTTTTTTCTCTTATTATATGGTTTTGTATGGTTTTTTTCACTAATAATTGTGATATAATTGTTTAACTATGGTCTTGCGACATTTTCGTTATAACGAACCGTTCTCTACAATCCGATCATCATCATTAATACTAACTATATCTCACTTGAAGAAGCATTTGCTTCTTCAAAACTAATGTGATTTTCTAGCACACCAGCATTTAGTATCATAGAATTAATCTATAATGCATAGAATTAATCTATAATGGACACCCTATAATATCACTCTTGCATGTCACTTTTGTATGGTTTTTTCTCTTATTGTATGGTTTTTTCTCTATTAATTGTAATATAATTGCTTAACCACGATCTGTCTTGCGACATTTTTGTTATAACAAACCATTCTTTACAAAAGATCATCATCACTAATACTGACTGTATTACTTGAAGAATCATTTGTTTTCTTTAAAACTGATGTCAAAGAAACATGTACAGAAATTTCCAGAAGGAATAAATATTGACATGTCTTTATATGTATATCAGTGCGTCAAAAGTTAAAAAATAATAAAATAAAAAATAACAAAGCGGTTACTCGCCATATATGATTTAAATCTTACACAAATTTTTTCCTTTTTTCCATTAAACTTTTAAGGTTACTGCAACCAGGGAGAAAAAACATATTCCGGTCGGTATTTTAAAATTAAAGAGTAGAGGAAACAGTCTGTATGGTCATGGAAATAAATGGAAAGTACCGAAGGAGTCACAATTACATCCTATCAGATACTTGCCAAATGGGCATCTACTTGAGTACAAAAAAAGTACAAAAAAACGAAAAAACAAAAAAGGATATCAGCGACAAATAAGGGAAGAATTTGTCTGCTACCAGTGACAGTATGAGTTTTTTTAACTTTTGACGTACAGCTTTTAAAATATGACCATATATATTTATAACTTATACTTGTAAGAAGTTTTAATCCACTGCAGATGGTTTAATATAAATCAAAATGTCTAGGCGATTTATTACAATTGTATCTAAGGATTTATTATGTAATATATTTGCGATTTACATCAATATCGTGCCTGGCTCCTTTCCTTTTACTTTGAATTTCCGGAAAATTTGGAAATTCTCAGGAAATTTTTTTACGTGATTTGAGTAAACAGTTTAAACACCCTGTACTAAGATTGCCATTTTTGTAATGTTGAAATAGTCTAATATTTTAAAATTGCATTTAAAATTATTGTACTCTAAAATTTCAAAATTAAAATTGTCTCTAATCTTATCTGAAATTTAGAATAAAAATACTTGATTTAATAAAAATATGTAGAATTGTGGGCCAATTGAAACGAACATAAAAATAGAAGAGTTAAATGATTGAATCGTATATTAAAATAAGTATATAATATATAATTTCACAAGTACATAAAATACATTGAGTGCTTCGAATGTTTCGAGCTACACGAAGCTCTTCTTTAGCAAAATTTTCACTAACGCACAGAATAGAAATCAACGAAATTATGTAATAATCAACAACCATATACTTAAATTTAGTTAACTTTTTTCGGAGGCAAGAGATACAAGTAATACTTTCCTCCAAAAGTACAATTTTTCCATAATTATATTTTTGTGTTTTGTACTTTTTTGTGCTCGAGTACACAAGCCCATTTGACAATTTCTTTTTTTCAAGATTTAGTAAGATCATTTTAAACAAATCAATCACAATTCATCAAATATGAGTCTTCATAGATTAATAGATACTATTCTTCTAGTTTTCTATCTATTCTTTTAGTTTTTCAATTCTCAGTTCAGGCAAACCGCATAATCGTCGGTCTTCAAAACGCAGCTCCAAATCGAATAGTTTATAATATCACCAATTGCCAAAACAATTTAATAATACTTGCATTTCCGGAAAATTCGAGACTTTCTTTTTTTTTCTTGATTTAAACACTCTGTATTAAGACTACCATTTTTATTTATTGTATACTGTGTCAATTGTGTGAAAATTTTTGTGAACTCTTTAATTATGTCTGGTTAAATTGTCTTGATCGCAATATATTTTACAGATCTGCCTAATGTTGGCTCAAATTTCAAGTTTAATATTTTAGAAATCATGTTTTGACTTTGAGATTCTCACACATTTTAATAATAACAATGCAACGAACATGTTAAGAAACTTATCGATAAATATATTTCTATAAAATGGCTATCCCGTGTGTTTTACGGGAAATATATTGACATTCAAGGTCTCTTGTTATTCTGCACATATTAAATGTCTTCCAATCGCTTAATTATTAAGTGAAAAACATCATTTCGATGGATCTGCCAATGAACTCTCGATTATACTTATACATTGAATCTTGTCTTCTACGGACAACTCTCCATCGTTTCTTTTGAACTACCTTATAAAATATTCTATCTTACAAATTATATCTGATGAAATTTTTTTTATATCGCTATCGTCTTCCAATGTTGTTTATTCTCGAGTGATGACGTTCAAAGAATTTAAACATCACTTAAAAGTGTCTTTTATCCTACGATAAACTGCTAATCTTTTCTATCACTATTATACGCACAAGGTGTTCAATAAGTCAATCTTTTCTTACTTGCGAGAAGTGTGATATGCGATTTATCGTCGCAACAGAAATTTTGGAAGTTAAAGCGAATCACTTTTGACTGTATGTAACATATTTTTGATGATGTTATTATATAATCAATCAGAATATATTGATATATATATATATATATATTTAATTATAAGCGTTTAATATATATAATATTGAACATAAGAGATATATAACGCGCGTATTACCAGCAGACTAATCTCTTGTGATATTTATATGAATAAAACTATAAGTCATTGTGTTGTGATTAATCGTTAATGCCTCAGTATTGTGAAATAAATGCTACTATTACTGTTAAAAGAGAATTATAAGAGAATATTATAATAATTGTGTTTATAAGAAACTCTATATATATTATATATGCATATATACTAATTATAATGAGATAAAATTACAAAATTACACCAAGAATATATAATTCTTTTTGACAATTAATTAAAAATGAAAAATGAACTTTAACGTATTCTAAGTATCGACAATGCAAACAGATAATAAAAAATTTCTTTTGGGAAATTTTATTTTTCAAAAAATACTGAAATCAAATTCTTATGAAACTTGCAAGCATTCAATGTTTGTAGAAAATGCTATCATCAAAAATTTTGCATTTTCATTATGTCGTTAATTGTGACTTAGCCCTCTGAATTGCTTTACTTCACGAGATGAGCTGCTGAGAGCGTAAATAAGCAGGTAAGCTTATAGAATTATGCGTGCTATGGAGAGAGTATAATCAATCTTAACCGTGCAGTTTATACGAAGTTTCCACTCATCTCGCTATCTTGGGATATATTAATACTAAATTGAGCACAGGCTAATTAAAAATTACGAACGTTATGCAAACAAAAGTGCTTTTGTTTCATTAATGAAGGATTGTATTCTATTGTTAGATTTTTGCATCTAATTTATTGTTAGATTTTTGTATATATTAATTCTTATCATTTGAGTAAGTGAATTGAAATGCAATTAAATTGTTGGCATGAGTAACGATGTAAAATTGTCTTGTTTTGGAAAAGAAAATTTGTATAATTTTAATTAAAAAAAATATTTTTAAATTACTGATGATATGACATAGTATATGTGAAATGTATAATTATGGTGAAATTGTATGCACTAGTTTATACGGCGTTTGCGAGATAATCGAGATATTATTAATGTTACTAAAAGTTTAAAATCATGCGAGCTCGTTGAAGTACGTTATTCGTGATGTGAAGATCGGAATGAGTGCAAAGTGTCTAAACAATGTGGGGGAGGCTCTCTGGAAAATATCTCTAGTAGCGGGCGATGAAACTCCAACCTTTCATCAATGAGACGAGAAGTTATATAGTACATTGG